GGCAGATGCCACCACTGTCCCTGAACATTTTGGACTATGGAGACTGCACTGTCCCTGCCAGCAGCTACAGCCCCTGAAACTGCCATCCAGCCCTCTACTCCTGTGTCCCTGTCTGATCAGCTTCCCTTTAGAGTCTGAGTCTGGTGCACTTGATCTAGTTAACCAGTCCGAAGTCCACCCTCCTGCATTCGAGGCAGGCTTGGAGAACATGGTACTAAGAGTTCTATAGCCAAAGTGACTCTTTCTTCTACCAAGATTCATGGGGTTTAATCTAAAGTGGGTCTGTCTTATAGAGTTCTTCTTTACCAATGCAGAACTTCCTTTTGATTATGTAAGCAAAAAGGAGCTTATTACAGGAGATTAAAAACTCATAGAATCTCTCAGAGAATATAAAAAGCAGGCTTGGAAACTCTGCAGCCAAGAATAACACACTGACATGAATCTGGCAATGGTACGACTATCACAAGGCCACCACGGTGCCACCCAGTAAGTACCTTGCTACCTGACGGCTAGACTGCAGAAGTCCCATCTTGGCTTCCACAGGGAAAGCAGATGCTGCTGCTCCTGCCATCGCTGGAAGGAAGTTCCGCCTCCCACAACTGTTGCCTTAGGTTGCTCATCCCCATGCCCAAATCTCAGGCAAATGCACCCAGCTAGCAGATCCCATGACATGCAGCCAGCATTAGAGAAACCTGGGAAACATGGTGTTTTCCGATCCTGCCATGAGAAGGCAGAACTCAAAATGCACAAGCTATTAAAGAAGAATGAAGCTGTGTGAAGGGAACTATGCATCTACAGAAGCCAGAAGTCCACAACTGGTTGGAAGATTCTACAGGCAAGAACAGGCTAAAGATGTTGAGTGGCTGAAAAAAAACAGCAAGAAAAATGACAAGTGGCCCCACAAAATCTTTCCAGTCTCATTTTTCTCATTGCCACAGAAGCAACTAGCCGTTATTTGAATTCATAATTCCACTAATATAAAAGTTCCTCGATAGCCTCTGTTTTTGTCTGTTGTTTTTACTGATGAAATTGAAGTGCCTAGAACAGTGCCTGGCCCATAGTTGGTGCTTTATACATAGTTGTTGAAGGAGTTAAAGAAATTCACTGAACACACTAAGAGAAGACAAAGCTTCAGGTGGGATGTGGGTTTAGAAAACCATGACAGGCAACTTTAATATGAGTTTGATTCAGTCTCCTACAGTAGGGAGAGGCAGCAGTGTAAACTCCATTCACCACCCTTAAGATGAAATAGATCTGGGAAAACATGACCGAGAAGAGGGTAGGGGTGGCAGAAAATCCAAAATGAAACCCAGAGAGCTCACTGTAAGTTTGTTAGGAATTTAGTCATTGATGCCAGGTGTCATTTATGAACTTTCACTTAGGCATGATTTATGATTAATCATGTTTTATCACTGCATGTGGTCACCCAAAACATATTTCATACATATTAAAATTAGCCGATGTAGGGATTAGGATTCATATTTTAAAAAGATATCCATTTCCTACAGTCATGAACCCTTACCTTCCTGCACTTTGGGGAGCAGAAAATAGGAGAAAGGGGACTCTCATCATGTAACTCTCAACACAGGGCAGAGTGCCGTGAGGTGCAATTGAGACCTTTAGTCTGTACCTACGCAACTCAGGGCCGCAGTGTGCAAAGTATTATAAACTATTGCAAACCAGAGCTACTTATTAATTAACTGCTCCAGGGTGAACAAAAGGTCAACGTGATAGCGTAATAGCTTCCTCTTAACCAAAGACGATTCCCATCTGACAGTAGAGTTTCATATTTTTAAGTTTCTTATTTTTCTTTGCAAAGGGGAGATTTATGAAGCTCAGTTCTGTACAGATGGTCTTTCTCTGACTTTGCTACCTTTACAGATCTATTTATGCATTTGTTAATGGAGTTTCGGGGCTAAAGACTCTGCTCTGGGGTCCCAACAGCCCAGACTTGGCTTTCTGTCCTGCTGGGAAGGAGCTTTAATCAGCCTGACCACTCAGGGAAAGACAGAACAAAAGAAGCAAGATCTGTCTTCCGGGGGCTGAGAGAAGCTATGGGATTCATATAAGAACAAAGGCAAAGGTTGGAAGTTTGCAAAAGCTGGAGGTTGCCCAGCCGGCAGTGTAGGTATCCAAGCCAAGTCCTATCCAGTTGATGGTATTAGGACTGGTCCTGCCGGGTTCTGGCAGAGCTGTCATAACTTTGGGGGATGATGTGGTTCCCATCCAATAGGCTTGCTGCTGCTTCGGAGTGCAGCCTTGTTCCTATCACAGAGAGTCTTTGTCACTGTAGTCACTGGTACACAACACTGGATGCCCGCAACTTCCAAGAGTAAAGGTTTACTTTGGCTCACAGTACTGTATATAGAGATTTCCATCCATAGTTACCTGGCTTCAAAGCATTGCAGCAGGGCAGAGAGGCATGGCAGAGGAGAAACAGTCCATGGCATGGTAGCAGGAAACGAAGATCAAGGGAGAAACAGGGAGATGGGCACTTCCAGAAAACACCCAGGTAACACTCCTCCTAACATCACAGTTAGCTATAAATTCATCAGTGGACTGAACGACTGATAAGTATCAAACCTCTGAGATCAGGCCCTGCTTTTCTTGGGCTCCAAGGTAACTGCAGGTTTAGAACAATGACTGGAGACTTCTAGACACCGCTCCAGGGAACTTGGTTGGAACTGGGTGTTATTAAAGCTGGCAATTGGATGTCCCTGCAAATCCTGAAAACTACTTTAGTTACTCTACTTTGGGGGTCCTCAATCTTGAAGTAGGGTGAGAATGGTCAGTTAAACCCAAGGTGAATAAAGCTTGCATTAGATGCTTCCATAAGTAATTCACATATTTACACGCAGAGCCGAGCAGGGTCTGACTAAAGGTGTCAAGGCCATGCAAGCTCATCCTACTTTTAGTTATCCACAGGGCATCTGCAAGCCCAGCCTCTAGGTCCCTGTTACATATTCATAAATAAGGCTCTGCCAGCCAGAATTCAAATGCAGTCACCACAAATCACTGCTTCTGAAATCAGCTATTTTTAAATGGAAGAGAAGAAAAGGAGTAAATATGGGATATTAGGAACCTAGAAAATCTTTGAAAGGAATGGAAGAACCAGCCCCAGGCTGGGCATTAAAGAAATAAAACACCAATGGGGTGTGGTGATACACACGTGTAATACCAGCACTTTGGGAGGATGACGTGGGAGGAATACAAATTTGAGCCCAGCCTGGGCAACTTGGCAAGACCGTGTCTCAAAAGAAAAAGGAAAATAGGGTAGGGATGGAGCTCAGTGCAGATGCCCTGGATTCAATCCCTAGGACTGCCAAAAAGAAAGGAAACACCACACCAGTGAGCCAGAGCTGCTACCTCTGCCAGACTCAGCTGACCACCACTGGCCCTGAATTCAAGAACACAATGACCAAAAAGAGAGTCAGGGACTAGGAAACAACTCTAAGGTCTTTGTGAGCAATGGAGTCAACGGAACGGGGGAAAATCCTGGTGGGAAAAGATGTTGAGGGTGGAAAGGGAACAAGAATTCTGCTTTGGTCATGATCAATTCTAGATGCCTATTAGACACCCAAAGGAAGTGCCGAGTGAGCAGTTGGGTATGCAAGTCTGGAGCCTAAAGGTAAGTTTGAGATTTCAACTTAAGGGGTTATGTATCATATAGGATAGGCTGCAATTTGCTTTTTTTCAAAACTCAGTTTTACCTTTGAGCTCATCAACTTCTTCAGAGACTATTTTACTATACTCCCTTCCTTGCTTCTCTTTCAGTTTTCAAACCCAAGTTAACCTAGCTTCTCCCTCCAAAATTCCACTCACAGTGCCCCCAAACAGGCCCCATTTTTTATTTTTTCAGTTCTTGCTGCAACATTTGGCACTGCTGACTGCTTCCCACTTCTCCACGTGACTCTGGGGAACACCCCTCACTCTCCCAGGCAGGATCGGGAAAAGGTCCTGAACGAAGAGAGAGAAGCAAGCGTCTCCACGGCTCACTAAGAACAAAGCAAGCCCAGCAAGCCGCAGCTCTTGCCGATCTGACTGGTGACTGTAAGATCCAAAGAAGCTGCAGAGCTCCTGATTGCACTAAGGCACCCGGCCTTCCCACCCTGTAGCAGGCTTGTGGCTACAACGGTGGGGGGATCTTGGATTCATTCAGATCACATGCACGCAAGAGGGAGGTTGTTGGCTCTGTCCTCAGCCCTGCACTTAGCAACTGAGAGCCCCATGCCAAAAAGCACGTTTTTAATTCCTGGAGCTGCATTACAAAGGCACCCACGTCTCCAGCAATCCCTACACAAATGCGGCTCAGACTCCCAACTGGATGAAGTTTTAGCGTTCCCAGAAACATAAATAACTCAATAGTCAGGAAACCAATGATTAAAAACAAATCTGGCCCATTCTTAGGCGTTATTTCAAGTAGAACATACAAAGGGTAAATACACTGATTTATTTCTTCCATTTCTCAAGAGAGTGAAGTCCTCTGAGTTGGGACACAGTGGCTGGAACGTCCTGTTTTATTCTAGAAACACATTTTCTCTTGACACAGAAGAGCTCGTGCGGAGAAGCAGCTCGGGATCTGGAAAAGACCCTCAGGGAAGCCATGCATTTGCTGGATACGCCCCCCGGCCCCCCATGCAAGCATGGAATAAGAAAGCGTGCAGACACACGTGTACACACACACACACACACACACACACACACACAGAAGGCCAAGGCAGGTGGACTTGAGACTTTCACTTGAGACAAGGTAGGCGGTCCATTCGGAGGCAGGATTGTAGGTCAGGGGTTAGCGACTGCGACTTGGACTCGATCCCAGCGGAGCTGGCCAGACTGGACTCTGAGTCCGAAGAGGGTGAGGGGCGGAGAGCGGGTCGGGGGGCGGAGGTCCCGCGAGGTG